GGTGACGATTAAACGTGGCATCTCCAGACATCATGCGGGGGACTGGAATGAGGAATGAACTCTAAGGGTGCCCGCTCTCAGCGGTGCTTACAACCCCTTAAGGGAGACACACAAATATACAAAGGTCTGGGTGCCTCAAGGGCTGGAAAAGCCCCGGATCGGAGCCAGCAGTCCCAAGGTAATAAAGACATCATAATGCAGTGCAGACTTCACTCCTAGCTTAGTATGACTTCTAGAAGCATCTGAAGGCAAGCCAGTCGGCCTCTTGAATATTTCACTTCAGGTGACACCCTTTTCCCAACATATTGGTAAACCTGTGAAGATTCACACGGGATCTACCATTGAGAAAGCCACAGTGGTAGCCCTGACTCACTCCAGGGATTATAAGACAGTCTCTCAGCGGAGTTGAGAAAGACAGAAAAAGACAGGCATTGTGAATCAATTAGGAGGAAGAAAGAAAGAAAAAAGGCAAATAGCTCCTCACTGACTGAAACCTGGAGAAAGAGCTAGAGAAATTACATTAAAAGCAGTTGTTTAGGGACGCCTGGGGGGCTCCGTCAGTTAAGCGTCTGACGCTTGGTTTTTGGCTCAGGTCCTGATCCCAGGGTGGTGGGACTGAGCCCCGTGTGGGGCTCCCTGCTTAGCCGGGAGTCTGCTTCTCCCCCTCTGCCCCTCCCCATGCTCGAGCACATCCTCCTGCATTCTCCCTCTAAAATAAATAAATCTTTTTTTTTTTTAAGCAGTGTTTAAAACAGGGATGATTACATAAAGCTGTTCAATATTCAAAAAAGCTGTGCTGTTCTCCAAACCATTAGGAGGCCTACTACAAACAAAACAAACAAAACAAAACAAAAAGAATAAAAAAAGAACAAGTGCTGGCCCTGATGTGGAGTAACTAGGATCCTGTGCACTGTGGGTGGAGATGTAAAATGGTGCAGCTACAATGGAAAACTGTATGATAGGTTCTAAAAAAATTAAAAATTACTTTATGACCCAGCAATTCCACTTTGGGTATGTGCCCCACAAATTCAAAGTATGGCCTTGAAGAGCTATTTGTCTACACATGTTTATAGCAGCAAATTCACAACAGTCAAGAGATGGAAGGAACCCAAGTGTCTGTGGGCCAATGAATGGGGAAACAAAATGTGGTAGATAACATGCTATGGAATACCATCCAGCTGAAAAAGGAAGGAAATTCTGACACATGCTACAACTTGGACTGAACTTGAGGGCATTAAGGGCGCCTTGGTGGCTCAGTCATTAAACGTCTGCCTTCGGCTCAGGTCATGATCCTGGGGTCCTGGGATCAAGCCCCACATTGGGCTCCCTGCTTCTCCCTCTCCCACTCCCTCTGCTTTGTGTTCCCTCTCTTGCTGTGTCTCTGTCAAATAAATAAAATCTTAAAAAAAAAAACTTGATATTATACAAAGTGAAATAAGCCATACTGTATGATTTCACTTACATGAGGTGTCTTCTATAGTATCAAATTCACAGAAGCAGGAGGTTGGGTGATTGGCACAGACTGAGGTGGGGGGGAGGGGGGCTATTTAATGAATATAGAGTTTCAGTTTTGCAAGAGGAGAAAGGTCTGGAGATTGGTTGCCCAACAATGCAAGTGTACACTTAAAAAATGGTTAAGATGGTAAATTTTATGTTGTGTGTATTTTACCACAAATAAAAATAAAAATACTTAACCAAATCCACTAGCAGACCAAATCAAGCAATGTATAAAAAAGATTATATACTAGAATTGCACAGGACTAACCCAGAAATGTAAAGTTGGTTTAACATCTGAAAATCAATTAATATAATACATTATATATCAGTAAAGGCAAAACCCACATGATCATCTTAATGGAAGTGCAAAAAGCACTTGATAACATCCAACACCCCTTCATGATAAAACCACTCAAAAACTAGGACTCAAAGAAAATGTTCTCCACCTGATGAAAGAATGCTTTCCCCGTAAGATCAGGAACAAGACAAGGAAGTCCACTCTTGCCACTTCTATTCTATTCTACTCACCACTGTTATTCTAATCACTTCTATTCTCTTACGTTGTACTGTTCTAGCCAGAGCAATTAGGCAAGAAAATAAAATAAGCATCCAGATTAGAAAGATGTAAGACTATCTGCAGATGACATGATATACAAACTCTTGAGGAATTCATTGAAAAACCCATTAGTACCGGGGCATCTGGCCAGCTCAGTCAGTAGAGCATATGACTCTTTATCTCGAGGTCATTTGTTCAAGCCCCACATTGGGTGTAAAGCTCACTTTGAAAAAGGAAAAGAAAAAAAAAAAAGCCATTAGTACAGCCATTTTATAAGACTGTCAATTTCTTTTTTCTTTTTTTTTTTAAGATTTTATTTATTTATTTGACAGAGA